GGACATATTGGTCAATAATTAAATAAAACTCATTTAATTCATTTAATCATTTTTCTAAAAAATTTAATGTAAACCAATATTTTGACTATATTCTATAGTCATCTTCAGGGTACTATAATCTTCTATTTTGGTCATTAAAACAATAAATTAGTAGAACGTTTGTATTAAATCTGAATATAGAATTCTTAATAACTTATTGCTTTAAAATTATTTATTAAGTATTAAACATTTATAAACTGAATTAATTATTCGTAATTAATACTGACTACACATCAATTACTTTTAATTGATGTGTTTGAAATCATATCAATTGATTAAAACTACGTTTTTGAATTGAAAAGAGAAATTAATTAGAATAATTAAATTAGAATTTTTTTAAATATAAAAATTTGATTTCTATAAAGTAATAAAATTATTAAAATTCAAAAACTTTTACCGCAGATTTGTTAACATAAACAGATTTATAATAGAATATATCACTCTACATATTAATTAATATTTAATATATGAATAATTATAATGATATTAATTCAAACTCACTTAGTACTTTAACTTCTCCTTACCTTTCTATGCTGATTGTGCAGAGGTAAATCTCATTACTTGATCTTAGAGACTTGATCTGAGTAATATATCGATAAGTATTTTTTTCATTTTTCCTACAACTTCGATAACATAAGTAATTATTGCCAATAGCTATAGAAGTGATATAAATCAAACAATTGATTTATTCTGTTCTAATTGTGGTTGAATTATACTACCCATCCAAGAATCTTCGTTTATTATATTTTGTATTATTTTGTTTTCGTAGAATTCAGAACAGTCAATTAAAAAAAAACAGGTTGTTTTTTCTGTAAAAAATATTTTTACCTTTTTAGTCTCATCTACGCTATCTATGAGGTTTAACCGTATATTGGTATAAATAGATTGGTATAAATTAGATTATTTTTATTATTATTATTAAGATGTTTTAGCATTACATTAATTAGAGGTAAATTAAGAACTTAGTCTATTTACATAGAATTTCCACAAATCCCGATTTCTAGCTATATCTTCTAACTCATTAAATGTTTTATTCGTTTCCTTATTAACGCTTCTACGCCATGTCATCTTGTGGAGTTCTCTGTTTCTTGTACCTTAGGGGTTCTATTGTAGGGTTACATGTACTATTTCGTTTGCATTCTTCCGAAGAGTATGTCCAATCCACTTGTATTTCTTGCGCACTATATCTTTCACAAGAGGGATTTGTTTAGATATTTGCCAAAAACGAGTATTAGTAAAATGATGTTATATTCCATTATAATTTATCAAAATCGGTGGAATAAATTGCAAGTACATAGGTTCAATAGAAATATATATACATATATTGCAAATTGTTAACAGACACGTGAAATACCGAATGTCAAAAAAAATTTCTAATCAAATAAAGTTTTAACAGTTTTTTTTTTAAGTACGCCTGCAGAGGTGGGGAACCCCAATATATATGAGTCATAGGTTATAATCAAATGATAGTAGTATCGAATGCTCAATAACTTTTTATCAAACAGGTAAGAATATAAGCAACAGAAATCGAATGGTTTGTTTTGGTTTGGTTTGAGCTTAAATTCTTTTTATATACACAATTTTATTACCAGAATATAATAATTTCAATATATTTTAAATAAATTTTGCAAATTTGAAACGATAAGGAGTTTTTTCTAAATATTTTTTCTACAATGTTGTAAGTATATCTTAAAAATAAAATAATAATTTTGCTCGGGTCATTAACTTTAATAAGTGCACTGCACTGTTATCACTACACGTCCCAGAACTATATGACTTCCAATACCTTTTGTAGCCCGAACCGCCATTACATGATTATAAAAATAATATTAGTAAATGGGATTTACCTGAACAGAGTTCATATGAATATCATTCTTTTTTCTTAAATTATTAGTTTCTGATATTTGAATATTTTTTATAGTGAGCGCTTCATGATAAAATTCACATATGTAATCCTTCCTGATGAGCGTTCAAATATTTCACAGATATAAAAATAAATACCGTACGGCTATCACTAAACCCATTTATGTTATTGAAGAATCTAAAGAGGTTTTATATCTTTTTTGCACATCAATAAAATAAGAAACCCAATAGAAACCTGTAAATGTATAACCAAAAATAACCATTCAAATAAAGCCGAAAAAATATTAAAATATATTTAGTATATGTATATCAGAATATAGTAAGATATATAGTAACAATATATAAACTATAGTACACAATAAAAATAGAATATAGTAGGAAAACAAAATGATATATCATGTCATTTTGTAATCAACTCAGCAGTTATTATTAAGATATCCCAAGTTTGTCTTTCTGCTTTAAGATTTTTTTGCTTACTATAATTTGCTTACTATAAAAATTTTATTAAATTTTAATTTTATTGAAAAACTACGTAATTTTTGCATAAATTAAAATTTTTTTTTTTAGTCAAGCAGAAGTTGAGTCAGCTAGTATTTTTACGGCAGTAGTGTTTAGTGTAAGTCATGGTTAAGTTTATAGATTCTAGAATACAACAAACTGAATTATACATATAAAAATGAATTATTTAAAAAATTTTTACTGCTATACGTAAAGTTAACTTTAGAATAAATTTTATATATTTTTAAGTGATACACTTTACATCAATGCTTATAAGGACGCTAGAATCCTTAATATCGTTAACTGAAAGACATTAAAGAAAGAAAAGCAGGTCGGTAAAAAAACAAGTCTTAAAGAAAACAGATCAGAAAGAAAACAAGTTAGAAAGAAATAAGTTAGAAAGAAAACAAGTTAGAAAGAAATGTCTTAAAGAATGCAGCTCTTAAAGAAGGTAGTCTTTGAAGATTGTAAGTCTTAAGGAAGGTAGTGTTTGAAGAGTGCAAGTCTTGAAGAAGATAGTCTTTGAAGAGTACAAGTCTTAAAGAAGGTAGCCTTTGAAAAATTTTAGTAAATGTAGTTAAGATAGCACGCTGTAATATAATATTTTATGAGAAAAAGAATTCAAGTCTTTTTGTTTTTATATATAGAAAAATGAAGTTTTGTTAATTTTATCCCAATAAATTTTTCATATTTTTTTTTTAATTTTTAACGTCAATTTTAACGAAAGGAACTAATATATGTTAATATATGTTAAACTATTGTTTTCAATAGAGATATTTATTATTTTAATTAGTTGAATTTTCGACTGACTTTACAGCTGTTTCAAGTATTGCTAAATACCCATCATCAGTGGTCTTGGAATTATTTCTAATATCTATTTATTCGTAAATAATTTTTTGAGTTCAACCCTACAAGTACCAAGGGTTGAACTCGTACCCGTAATTTGAAGATGAGAATCAGTGTTCATTAGCCATCTGACGTAAAGCCGTACTTGGCTTGTATGTTCTAATTTGGAGTTTTTGTTGATTTGCCGTAAAAGTTCATTACTGTGTTATATTAAAACCAATCATAAACCAGCTGTAGAATAATTAAATTAACTAATATTTTTTTATATTTTTTTTGGTATGTTAAGTAAAATTATAAAATAATAATTTCGTCTTGGTTATTAAATCGAAGGATTTCAATAATAAAAAGCAATTAGTTTATTCTAGGAAAACTAAATACATTTCACCAACTAGCTTTGTAACATTTTTCCATCTTCTCTATTAAGCAAAATAAAAACGTAAATTTTATAGTAATATAACGCTCTGAGCTAGACCATAACCACTATATATTATATTGTCAAACCCCAATTTATACAGATGCTATTCGAATACAATGGAGAGATATTGCTGAGTATGATAAGTCACTAAAATAAATTTGTGGACAAACACTTGGCTAATGGACTTATAAAATATAATGGACTTTTTGGTTAAATAATTTTGAAGACAGGATATTTGAATACATCTTGATTGCTGCAATACAGTTCTTTGTTAAACTGATATTTTTTTGATACATGATAGGTAACACCAATAATACGCATTGATATATTTAATTCTAGTCTGTAATACACACACAACAGTAAATACAATAGAGTCTCAATATAATAAAAGATATTGTGACAAGACCTTTCCTTATTTACAATGTATTTTATATGCAGCATTCGTTATAGAATTTTTGCTTGATATAACAAATATCGTCTTGACTCTTTTGCGAGTTAGTGCTTTTAATTGTACATTCTGAAAAGAGTTTGTTGTATAGGGTTTTTGTCAAGGCGTTAGCTTGTAATAAACAAAAAGCTAAGACACAAATCGAGACCAGAACTAAATATTTAATTTGATATCATCATCTCTGCCCACACATTATAAAGAACTTCAATGACTTCAATGACGTTAATAAAAATTAAGATGCCTCCACACTAACATCATTAGCTCTGATTACAGTGTATTCAAAACGTAGCTTGTATTACTATGATCTGTAGACACTTGTACCAACAACCAACTACCGTCCACGACTTTCATCTGGGACCTAAAAAAACATCATCTGTCTGCTATAACAACAACAACGAGAATATAAATGGATTCATTATATATATTAATGAACTACAATTTAGGCACATTTTTCTATTCTGACAGAAAATTCACATTTTTTTATTAATGAAACCACCAAATTAATATATATAAAATTATTTATTTATAATATTAAGCTTTAGAAGCTAAAGAAATTATCATTAAAACTATTTCAGTATTAATACATCTCGAAATATATATAATCTATATGTACAATAAAAACGCGCATATAACAATATACATACATTTACATTAAACTATTTTTATTATCAGCAAATTGTTTGAAACTATTTTAATATTTACTTAAATTGCTACTTTAAAAATTGTAGTATTATGACACATTAAAAATTATGTATTTGCAATTATAAAATGGAAATAAATGAAGAGGACATTGTTTTCGTACATAAAATATTTTACATCATTTTTTTAAATAAACATAAGTATATACATTGATATATACACATTCATATATATATAAATATATGGCTTTGGTACATTTTTTTTTGTAGAGTAAATAATTAATAATACAAAAATAAGTAAATTCATTGCATTTTATAGTACATGATAATGCACATTTTTAACTACTTCGAAACACTAATAAATAAAATAATTAATTATACTTATACAGACTTATGTTAAAACGTTTAAACATTATAACTAAACAAAATAATTAAGTTAATTTTGTCAAATTTTATTCATTCATTTTTTTTTTGAATATGAATTTGTGTTATACAGCTTCTCCTTTCGTTGTCGGTATTAGTTGTTCCTTGTCAGGAGTTTGTTTTCGTCTGAACGTGACGTATGTATATAAAAGACTAGCGAAGACACTTATATTTATGCCAATGCAATTTAGCCACGAGAATACATAATCTCCACCGATAAACATACCCAAATATGTTACACAGATATTCTTTAGACAACCAACAATTGTCGTAGTCAACGCTGAATTGTACTGCGTGCATATAATGGTGCTGTACGATAAAATGAAGCCCATAAAACAACTCATCAAGAATTGTACCAAAAAGAAAGGATCGTTCCAGCTAGCAAATGCCATAGAACTCTTTAAATCTCCAGTAAAAATTGTGACTATAAATGCTGGCAAAAGCATAAACAATGAATTATAATACATAAGTCCATTTTTGCCAATTTCTGATGTATCCAACTTCTTTTTAACAAATACACCATTTGCAGCAGTAAAAGCATTTGTTATCATAACAAAAGTGTAGCCTTTCATATTGAAAGATAAATCATCAGATGCTGCGAGTAATGCACCTCCAATCATGGCATAGACACTTATCTGCACAGCAGTAGTTGGTCTTATACTAAGAATTTTCAACTCCAGCAACATTGTCATCAATATCGAGAAGCGTCGTAATGCAGCAAACATAGGCAAACTGAGTGCTTGTGTTCCTCCTAAACCGAACATCATATTTCCAAGAAATATTAATGGCAAAGGAAATATTTTCATAAATGTGTTTCGAGCTAACGGTGGATATGATATAAATTTTAAGCGTTTTCCTAAGCCAAGCACGACAACACTTGCCGTCAGTTGGCCTACACTTAAAAATAGGAACGATGGAAAATGATAGGACGTCAACACTGTCTTATTTACTACTGTTATCATGAATGATGCCATGCCATAGAAAAAGGCACTAGCAATTTTCTTAAAGTATAACGTGGGATCTTCATCTTTACGTGTGTCTTTTGGAAGTAGACTGCTTGTGCTCCCGTTCAATTGTATATCGAGTGAAGTGCTGCCGTTTGAAGTGCCTCCCATTATTTAACAAAACTTTTGATTTTTTTTTTTTTGTATATTTTACGAAAAGCCAATTTTAGCCGAAAAAAATAAATTATCGAGTTTTTATAGTCAGGAGTTTCGATTACTTTAACATTATTATCGTGAGCACTATAGAATATTACAAAAAATTACATTTCTTTCTTTTTTTTTTATTTACTCACGATGAAAATACATACGCGGCAACCACGACCAACTGCAGCCGATTTGACAGTCGATCGCTGACTGAAAGTTATCTGACAGTCATTTTGTCAAAACCACAGTTAAAATCTAGTTTTTGATTACTGATAAAATATACACGTAATTGTTGATATAACGCATACAAATATTATTTAATACTTAAAGCAAAATAAGTTAAATTTGTTTACCTTTAAATTTCTTATATAGAAAAGTATTGCACAAATAAAAAATTTTTAACTTTATATATTTTGTATGAAACGCGCAATCAGCTGCTTTCATTTAACAGGGTTGTTATAATATTTGCAACAATGCGGACTCTTATGAAGCTTCTGACATCCGTGACGTAATATAGTTTTTTATTTTGTTTAAGCTTGCTTTATGTTGAAATAAATATATTTTGTTATAATAATATACAATTTCTTCTTAGCATACTTTTAATGCAAAACATGCATTAAAACAATCTTAATTTTGTTTGTATTTCTGCTCATTTGGTTTTCCAAAAATTAAACTGATATTACTTTTCGAATTCATACAAAAATTTTATAGCCAAAATTATGATTTGCAAAATGTGATATAATTGTATAGCGATATAGGAAACAATTCTCAGTAATTTACTTAAAGCGAAGCAATATATTGTTGCATAGTTTCGCATTTGCATTTACGAGTTTAACTATAAAAACAAAACTTAAAAAAAAAAACGAGCTTATGTGACGTATTTACCAAACTAATCTGAATAACCAAAATTTTCAGTACATCTGCATATTATTTGTGTTGCGTTTGTTGCAATAAATGATTAAACTGTTTGTTAAACCATTAAACCATTTGTTATTTTTGAACTAAATAAAATATTTTATATTACTGCATTTCTTTAGATAATATGAACGTAATATATATAACTTATCATGTTTGATAGTAATCATAACGATGACAATCAGTCAATTACCAATAATTGACTGATAAACACATTTAATAAAATCGAACAATAGCTTTTCAAATTTATAATTTAAATTTATAAATTTTTTAATTTTATACAAATTTTTAAAATAAGTAATCAGTACATAAAATCTTTTGTAAATATATAAATATATATATATATATACACAAGCTTTTTATTTATTATATTATAAACTGAATAACTTTAAACAATTGAGTTGTCTATATCTGTATAAAATTTTAAAACTATACATTTTATATAGTAATAAATATAATAGTAATATATAGTTGAATATGAATAAATCCAGGTAAGAAAACAATCGATTTAAAACTTACTTTGTTAATTTACCGAGAAGTGTTATTTTGTATGATTATTTACCGAATATAACAACTGAAATATTTTTTTTTATTCTCACTTTAAATCATGAAAAACAGCTTATGTATTCATGAGCGAAATCATTTTAAAACTAAAATATATCAAATCTAAAAAAGTATAATTTAGTATATATTCGTTGATAAATAAATATAACACCGTTGTTATATAACAGAAATATTTGTGTTTATTTCGTATTGATTAGAAAGTACATATGTGTATTTCTAATTAGGACAGAAAAAAACTAAGCTAAATTTTTAACTAATCTTAATATTAATACAATCTCGAAACATTTTTTTAACGTAACCTATTTGATGTGTCAAAATTGTTTTATTACGTTATTCGTAACATTTTCAGATGTTTTCTTTAATTTTTATTAGGGATGGCAACCCTATTTTCAACTTAAAACTAACTTCAAAATCAGCTGACAATGTTTGTTGAATTTTAATACCATTTGTGTAAGTTATTTGTATTTTAGTTATAGTTTAGTGTATAAAGAAGCAACATGCAAAATTCCAAGAAGAAAACTAGCAATAAATTGATAAAAATACCGAAACCCATTAAAGTGAAAAAAGAAAAAACAGAGGAAGACCGTACTATACATACTATGGCGCACTTTATTGATGACCGACTGGAATTGGTAAAACAAATTTTTGGAACGCTAAAACCTAAGACAATAACAAATTTAGCACCGGAGTTTTTAAAGGTATATCACAATAATATCAAAATAATTAAAGTCTTACTATAAAATATTTATTAAAATTATAGAAAAAAAGTATGGAAGATATTGAAGAAGCATGTCTTAATGAATTGCTGTGCATATCTACAAAGCGTCTACTCTCAATTATAAATGCAAGTAAATGTCCAACTGATACAGAATCATCAAGTGATTCAGATGTTGAGCATAAAGAAGGTACAAACAATTTATTTTTAGTATTCATACAATTTTTGAATAATTATACTTTGTAATTATAGAACATATATCATTAGAAGAAATTTCTTCTGACAGTGAAATTGATGATTCAAAATCTACAGGTAAATGCCATTTTAATTTAATAATAATTTTTTATTAAGATTTATGTATATAAAAATATACTTTTACTTAATAAATATTTGTATAGTTAGCATACAATATTTTTGTTTTGTTAGAATTTTTTTTATTTAGAAAATTAGTTACATTTTCACTTTAACATTTACTTTGGAAATCAAAGACTATTTTAAATTTTGCACTCACAAAATTTTGTTTAAGAAAATTGATTAGATTTTCACTTTAACATTCACTTTGGAAATCGAAAACTATTATCAATTTTACACTCACAAAATTTTGTTAGTATAATAATATATAAATGCTTTATGAAAATTTAAATTGTTCGTATTTCTTGATTGGTGGCAAAAATGTTGCACGAAGTATAACACCATCCTCTCCTTCTCCTATTTCCTCTTCTTCTTCTTCTTCAGGTAATTTGGCAACTTCGATTGTTATTATGAAATCTCCTGTATGTAGTAAGTCCTTATTACGTGCATAGTCTATGCCATACTCCACAGCAGTAAAATCACATTTGTTCATTTCTTCCGTATACAAAAGCGGTTGAAGGTTTCGTCGTAGTTGTATAGCTCGAGCTAAACTGTGTTTTCTGCTAACATCAAATGGATCCGCTTCGTCTACTTGCATTACAACGAAAACTGGACAGTAAATTTCAACTCTACCTAAAGCTAGAGCTGCTGGTTCACATGTTGCGTGCACAAAAATAGCTTGACACTCCACTGAGCATATAGTGCGTATTATGAAATTCACAACTGTATCATATGCAGTTAGTATTTCTTTGACAATAGAACACTTATCTACAGTTATCTTACGATAATCATATAGAGGAAGTAGTTTTTTCACTATTAGCGGATATTTTTTGCAAGTAATACTTCGTTCTATAAATATGGTATCTATCTTCCACAAGAAGTAGTGATTTTCAAAGTTATTGAAATCAATACGACGTTCCATATGAATAGTACCGATAATTGGTTTACGTATTGATTTAGCGATCGGAATTACTTCATCAAAAACAAATCTTTGCATAGTATGACTTATACTGAACATATCAGGTATCCAAAGATAATCCAATTGTTTTAATATACCTCTGATATCACACATATTATCTCTTATGTATTCGAAATCTAGTACGCCAATTATGTTTAAGGCATATTCTTCGGGTATATAAGAACGTAAGATCATTAAATATTTTTTGTTACGTAATTTGGGTACAACTATATAATTAACATTGGCGTTTATAGCAATACCCAAATCTTCAGCAAACATATGTGGAATCTCATCAGCACTCAGGGTATAAGCAATACTTGGTAGCTCTACATCCATATAAGAGTGTAGCGGTCCTGCTACCTCCACTAGTATTGCTATCGTTTCAGTCAACTTTTTAACAATTGGCCCTTTTAAACTTGGTCCAATTTGTATTTCATCATTTAAACTTAATCTGCTTAAGTAAAATGATAAATTCGAAACATAAGCGATTTCTCTATATGAGCAGTATTTGTAACGTTCGTCAGAGGTTAAGCTAACTATTTCGCCACGTTTTAAGTGATCAGTGCAGTTATTACGCATACGTCCAGTAACACAATTCTCACCATTAATGGTAATAGCTAAACTTGTTACCAATAGTGAGGCAGTCTCACCTAACCTATATTGTTCAATCTGAATCTTAGTACGTTGAATCATTTGTTGGACATTCTCTGGCCTATTCCTGAATGCATCAAAATAAAAAGTACGTACACCAACCATAAGCAGACTATCTATTTGATCATTGGTAGTTTCGGTCTCTATTTCTGCAACAAGACCAAGTTTGTAGTAACGACGCTTGGTTTTGCGTCGCTTTATATATCCTCTGCGTCGATTTTCCTTATTGTAGACGTGACATGCTCTTGTGAAAGCTTGTAACTCATTTTCCACCGCAACACGTCCATCAAGAAAAACATCAAATTTAGGGCAGGGATTTGCGTATCTAATCGACATTTTGAATTACGATAATTTATATTATATCAAATTTTGAAGTTAATAAAGTTCTAATATTTGCAGTCAAAAAGAAAACGACAGGAACTAGGAATTTGACCACAAAAACATTACCCGAAGCTAATGAGAGTAAGTAGAATTTCAAATTTGATTGATGAAAATTTTAACAGTTTATATAAATATTTATTCAATATAAAATTTTGAGATTAACTCTTCTGAATTTTAAAAAATATGACAGTTATCTAGGATGACAACTGTCATTTGAAAGGGTTTTCTATTAAACCAACATTTTTGCTTTAAAAGTAAGCGGTGAAAATAAGCTCTTTAAAATAAATAATGATTATATATCAGGCAAAGCGTTTTGGTGAGCTTATTTGCTTGGTTTTAAGTATTTTAGATTTGTGGCTTCTAATGCAAAATTTTATATCTTTATTAAGTTTTAGTAAAGTACATGAAAAGTTTTAATTCTTTTATAGATCAAGGACAAATCAGTGTCTTGGAATTGTTAGAATTGCAAGCACGTGCAAGGGCAATACGTTCGCAGTTAGCTTTAGAGCCCGTTACAAAAATCGAAGTTAATTCCGAGGATGAGTCTGAAACTGAAGCTACTAAAAGCAAATCCAATGAACGGTTAGTTAATCGTATTGAACGTAAAAGAAAATCAAGTGGTTCCAGCAACTCTCAGCATTCAAATAGCTCATCGGTTACAGCAACATCATCTAAAAAGTCTAAATCCAACGGTAACGCTGTAGCGAATGATGTTGAAAATACTGATGGCAGAGCACAGGGGTCCAGCACAAAAATCAAATTGAAACGTAACTATAGAACACAAGTAATGGAAAATGTGGAAAAGGAAAAGGAAAATGCTACCAATGGAAAATCTTTTGAAAAGAAATCATTTGGTAATAGTGAATTAAAGAAAGAACGCCGTTCACGTTCAATATCTCCTGATGTAATTCCCATTGTTGCTGAACCAGAAACATTGCTTATAAGTGATAGTTCCGATTTAGAAACTGATAAACCTGATAATCGCGTTAATAATGATGATGAAGGGAAGCAAGAAATAAACAAAAAAGTAAATGAAGTAGATGCTGAAATAGAAGAAGGTGAAATTACAGAAGGTGAAACTGAAAATCCTAAACAAGTTGCAGTAAAAGAAACTCTAAGTTGTACTGAAGATCAGTCAGTAGAGCTTACTACAGCAATTAATCAGAATACAAATCTTATCGTGGATCTACAAACAGTTGTAGATGACGAAATCGACACAGACAAGGTGCAAATCATCGCTGATGAGGAGCCAGAACTTACTAAAAATAATGGTCTAACAGAAAATGATGTTAGAAGTGAACAAAATTATGAAGAATCCATTGCTGAGAAGTCAGCAGAGACAACAAATGAATCATTAGAATATTCAAAATCGTCAAGCAAAAGTTGTAAGATCGAAAATGTTGATACCGATGAAGATGATCAAAATGATGATATTATATCCATAGAGGGTGGCGATTTAGAAACCGAAATGATTGAACATTTAGATGAGGATATAAAACCGCAACTGATATTTGTAAATGATTGTAAATCGGTTGATGTAGACAAATCAAAGGATGAGCAAAAGGATATGGATATAATATCTCTTGATTCAAGTGGTGATGAAAGAGATAAAGGTTCAGAAGAAGTAAGTGCATTCTTTTAGTAAAATAATTTATAAACCATATATATAACCTAAGTGTATATTACAGTCTTGGCACTCACGGTATTTACAAAGTTCCAAAGTCAGTAAAGTGCTTGCTGAATCACGTTTAGGCAAAAGAGTGCGTGACAAAATAAAGAAATCAAAGCGTTCTAAAAGGGATTCCCAAAAAGAAGAGGCTGACAAAACTGTTACAAAGTCAACATTCACGTCGAAACACGAAGATGGGTCGGTAGAGCAATACAAGGAGCTGCTAGAAATACGACAACGTAAGACTTGAGTACAATAAATGAAGTCAATATTTCAAATTGCTTTCGCTGTGCAAAGCAATTTCACTCAAACCATTTTAATGTCGAGCATAAAAAACATTTTCAAAAACTATACTCTATACGATTCATAGAGTTTTGCGTGTGCATTAAACTTTTTTAAAACAATAAAGTACAAAAAATCAAATTTCAACCCCATTTCATTGTTATTTGTAGCAAATCATTTTTGGCTTTATTAAAAACTATAAAAATAAAACGCACAAAAATTTGAATATTTCGTGCTCACAGCAAATTTAAGTTCAGTATTTTAAAAAAAGAAACGCAAATGTTTTACCATTTCCGGAATTCATTTAAATGACATTTGGCTTGAACGTTAGCTAAACTATGACATTGATGTTAATATATTAAAAAAAAATATATTTAATTAAATGGTAGAAAGAGCTCCTTAAAATTTCATTAGAATTTCTTTAATATTCGCTAAATGAGTTGCAAGTCCTATTTTACTTTCTGTATTTTGCCTTGTCATAAACTTTGTTAATTGCAGAATATATTAAATATTTTTGTTTTTTTGGTTCAAATAAATCAATAATTAGTGAAAAATAAAATTTTAAATATATTTTACCATAATTTAGTCAAGCAGCGGTAAAGCCAATTACCTCGTATCTCATTTCTTCCAACAATGTATTAAGAATCTAAAAAGCAACAAAGGGATTAGCCGCAAATAGACAGTTGCATATCTATTAGATACCAGGTCAAGTATGGAAGAAAACGCAATAGTAGATGTTCGATTGGATTTTGAATAAGAATATTATATGCAGAAACCTCTCAAAAATCTACGTTATGATAAAAAATATGAACCGGTGAGTAATGGAGAAATGCTAGCTTAAACACCTGCAAAATGGCAAAAGTTACGATCACATCAAATATCTTTTAAATTAATCTCCTACATTGTCAAAATACGCTTCAAATAATTGTGAGCTTCATGATTTAAAAAGGCGAAAGCTGTTTCAGAGATGGGGCTTCAAGTACTTTTTAGATTCGCTAAAAGCGTTGACATCTTACATGATACTTACTATAAATCTACATACGATTTAATATCATCTAGTATCATTACAGATCAATAGGTATAAGTGTGGCTCATGACCTACCATAAATCTAGATAAAATTTAATATTAACTGGTATCACTACAGACCAATAGATCTATATGTGGCTTATGCAGAGCTAGCTTAATCTGACCGAATTTATTACGTTTCATAATATTTACAATCGATGACAAATTCAATTTAATCAAAGGTTTTCGTCACAAAAATAGAAAAACAAAACTATAATGTGTATTGTTCCTTTATGTGAAATTCATAGGATTGTAACTAGAGACATATACAGAGATCTCATTCAGAGGATGATTGAAAGAAAAAAATCCATTATATCTAGTGTAAAGTATTCCGAAATTTTTTAGAGAGAGAATGAGGTTTTAATCCAAATCGATGCTGCACTGATTGTAATGTATTATTATTATTATATAATGTTCCAAAAGTACTTACAGTTTGATAGTTTATCAGACTGTTCATCGGTGTAGAGGAAAGACCTATTATATTACCTAAAACGGGATGGATTTAGTCTTCACTCTTCTATACTAGGGTTTCTGCAATGAATGTGGTAGCACAACAGCAAAAATCGCTAATTGAGGTACATGGACGTTATCTAATGGACTGTCACCGCAACCAACCAATATACAGTTAGAAATTGATTGCATATCTAAGAACTAACACCCCTATTCTGAATCACATGGGAATGGGAGTTTTTTTCTCTATTTTGCAAAATTTTTCCCAAGCGAATTCTGTAGGAGATAAGTTAAAAGAGAGTTAAAAAGAGTTTAATTTAATATGTAAGTAACTTATAATGATGAGATTTTTCAATATATTTTAATAAAATTATCATAATAAAATTATTATTATAATAAAATTATTATTATAATAGAATTAATATTTTTAAATTTTTATTTTTTTATTTTATCCACAAGAGTTGATCAATTTTTCGAACATATTTTAATAAAATTATTATAATAAATTTAATATATTTAATTTTTAATTAAATATATTTTATTAAATGTGTTAACTTTTCAAAAATGTTGTTTTTAAGATTTTATTTTCACCGATATTTCGACAATAATCTATAGTCATCGTCATTGATGCCCTTGAAAACACAAAATTATTTAGAAAATTTTTGATCATTAAAATAAAAAATTACTAATATAATTTTATAATATTTTTATTTTTTTTTTATCCATACGGGTTTTTTCCACAAATTAAAGCGTTAACTATTGTTATTTAAAACAATAGAATAATAAAAGGAACCCAAATTCTACAATGAATGGGACTCCCTGAATAAGTTAAAACAATCTTTTGTAATTATGCGCAGGTATTGAAGCTATCGTTTTTCTTGTACCATCTGCTCACATCATAAACTATTATAACAGTTAATTATTTGAAGGACATTTTTATCCTAATTATATATTTAATTAATTTAGGTCGATACTTAGAAATAGAGGAACTCAAACGTCAGTTAAAACATTGATAATTGCAATTAATAAATAAAATATTTTAAATTTTTGGGAATTCAATAAAACACATTTGAAAATTTTATTGTTCCCAAAACAGCTTTCTCCCAAGCAATCCAGAATAAGGGAGTTCTATTCGATGGAATAACGACGGAAGAGGGATACTTATTCTCTGGGAGTATTTAGAATAGGGATGTTAGTCTTTCTACAAAAAATTTCCAGTTGTCTCTATTCCGTACCATGAATCTAGGCGCGTTAAACAATTTGGATGAATACTGTTCACCTCCATGTTGTCTTTGAACATCGTCCTCTTGTTCCAACCAGGTTTCATTCTAAGGTCGAAGAAGCTATACTCCCCGTGATAATCATGTATAGCTTTAATTATTATATAGTTAGACATTTCAAATATTTTTGAATATATTTTCAGATGCTGTTGGTGCGTCTTGGTAATGCTAATGCAGTATATATTAACCTATTAACTTTAAAAAAAAAACATGAATCTCAATAACTGGATCTTTCGATAGTTTTAGTTTTTTTACTTAAAGGCAATGAATGAAATGAAAAAAATATTGCTATAATCATCCTATTATTTTTATTAGTTAACTATTACAGTGTTCTGCAGTTAATGGATTAAATTGTAAACTTGATCTTCACCAAAATATTAAAGATTTCAATTGAAAAGATACAGTTTCTGATAAACGTGCGAATGAAAAATAATTGCTTCAAATAAACATTGAATATTGAATTTATACATAAAACTAGATACTGATAATGACTACATTCCTCTATCCTCTATATATTCGCCTACTCCAATGATTCGCTCACACATGATTTGCTAGCAAAGACATAACTAGATGTAAACTTAGAGAATGGGGCTTTGGTATATCTACTCATGTATGACAGAAACAGTTACTTTAGCATGAGCTCTTTAGTTTCCTCATCAATTATTGCTTATATTCAAACTGCTACTATACCAGTTAAGTATTAATAATAGACTTATAACAAAAAGTGTTTTAATGTTAATTTTTTTTTGTCAAGAGTGATGCGTCTTTATGACAAAAAGAAACTATTTAAAAGTTTGACAGATTCGAATAGCAAAGAAAAGACTTGGACAAAAATTTATTTAATTTATTAAAATTTAGCTGACCATACAACGCTGTTTCGAGTATTGCCAAGTATCTATTGTCAGTTGTCTTAGAATACATTCGAATTTCTTAAATAGTTTATAGTTTATACGGACTATATACAGAAATGAATAAATACAATTTTAATTTTATTGGCAATTCATTTAATAAAAAGGCAATTTCATTCAAATTTTCAATATCAAATCAAATTCAAATGAAATTTCATTCTGTTATAGAATTAAATACTTGCCCGATGTATTTAATCCATTTTTCTAATGTATTGATCTCCAAAAATATGTTTATACCAAATAATTAGTTAAATACCTAAAATATAAGTACATGATTAGAGTATATATAAATTTTATATCAGTACAAATTACGTTTCGTCTCTTGTTTACTCATTTCCAATCATTAGTGATATGGTTCTTCTCTATTTCAATATAAATACCAGTCTAAATTATGCCATAACCTGGGTATATATTTGTCTATTTTATTAATATCTTTCCTCCTAAAGTTTGTTACGTTCCGTAAAAATCGTTTCTTACAGGAAGACAAATGTCATGATTGCATGCGAGAATAATTAGAGATTTTTAACTGCGTTTCTTTTTCAGAGACCTTTCGCTATGAATAGAAAATTATCCACTCTCATAACATTTTTCTTTTTCTTTTACGAATCATTTTTGAACTTTACGGGTTAATCCTAGAAACCATCGTGTATGTTAATGCTTCTATATATGTTTTCAAAGGTTTTTTTTTGTTAAATTTAATTAATTTCAAGTTTTTTAAAAAAAAAAACCAATTTGAAACAGCCATAATATAAGCAAATATCACAACCTACCTGGTTTATGTGTACTAGCTAATTTCCTTCTTCAAAATGAGCTAAGCTATAATTTTGGAACAGCGGTATTTGAGTTTACTGCAGACTTTACACATGCATACGGTATTCACATCTGAATTATAGCTCTCATTTGTTTGTTTCATACCCTCATAATAAAGTCCACGTATAATCTGTGTTCCCAAAAATAAAAATAAGCCAAATATACCCAATATTAGCAGATACGGAGCTGTTATAGTTTCGTTAGGAAAATCAAACATTTTCGAATTCCTTTAATTTTATATTATCTACACACGATATGAATTTTGATAATTTTGAGTAAAGAAGCCGGATTTATTATTTTTACTTTAAAATTTTTTTAATATATTAAAATTTGATTTTATTTTTATATGTATATTATTTTATGTAGCAAAATTTAAATACTCAATGCTGATGTTATTCTTTTCTATTTATGAATAAATACAAACACGTTGGTTGAAATAGCTAGAATTGGTTATTGATTAGCTTATCACGGGTATTATATAGATTCCTAGACATATGGTGGCCCATTTAGTTGCTATTTCGAAATCTTATAACATAATCCTAACACATAAAACGTAAGACGCTCCGCAAGAGAATCTTTAATAAAACCTAAGATGCTCTTTAAAAGAAGCTCTATCAGCTGACTAGAAGTTCTATATAAAGTAAATCGCTAGCATATATAACATACTTTGTGTATGTGCTGCATAATAATTAATCAGAAATAAAACACTTTTCTCATATCCTCCACAGCTACAACGAGGGACTATTAAATCTCATTTTGGACTGCCCTGATTTAAATGTTTCGAATATATTCCAAAGGTAGCTTATTTGCTTAACTTATCTATTTTGTAATCACCTCCAATATAGCTGTAAATTAAAACATAGAGAAAATATATATTGAGCAGTACATTTTGTGATAGTAGATAACCTGATTATTCAGATGTTGCAAATATATTTTAAATGCAGCTTATCTGTTTAAGTTATCTACTCTGTATACGCCTACGATATATCTGTAACTGTGAACACAGAGTAGATAAACATTATACCACTTTGCGATCTAAAGTGGTCAAAAATCATCCTTGAAAGTAGCTAAAATGTTTCTTATCCATATTAAGGCATGTCAGATAATAAAAATTAGACTAATCTTATTTTTAAAGTTGATCAAGCAAGCAAAATTCTATATGAAACTAAATTAACCATCGCGTTTTGCACAGCACACAGCAAATTTAATACATTTTATAAATTATTAAGTTCTTACTTTCTTTTTTAAAATGTATCCTCTATCGTCTCTGGGATCATATGATCTTAAAAATCCCCTTTATGCATAATTATTTTAGAGCTATAATTTATCTGTCGTTTCATAAATATAGTCAGCAAATATGGATACAATTTCAGCAACTACTCTAGATTTTATTATAATTATATTTAACAACAACATCGCCACAATAAAATTAAGTTATTAAATGTTATTAATATTGAATTTTTAATGTGGCCCAGTCGTTGATTTCCAACCTACCAACGTAGCAAGGTCGGTAACGCTGATTCCCAGTCTACCAATTTTGCCAAGTCGGTAACGTTAGATACCCTTCATAACACTAATCGGGTTTTCCTATTTCAGGAATTATATTATTTTTAATATTTATAATTGTGATTAATTTTGTTAGTTAATAAGTCATAAATATATTGTAAAAATAAAAGTAAGTAATAAATAAATTAAACTAAAAATTGTCGGTCTTTGAAATTTATATTACGAGAAGATTCAGGGTTACAAAGAAATATTCTTGTAACAACCCTGGGGGACAGTGAGCTATCCCAGCTATCAACGGCCGCGAATAGGTTCATTACAGACCATTGGGTCAGTATAAATAATGAAGAAGGGATGTAAATTTGTTGAATTCCCGAAAAGTTATTTAAAACATGTGTTGATAGTACATAGTACCTTCATGCATATTTATTTTAGAGTTATAATATATTGTTGTTTCATATATAGTTAGCAAATATGGATACATATTACTCTAGATTTTAAGCCCAATAAGGTCAACATGAAGAGTACAAGAGAAGGGACGTAAATTTGTTGAATTCTCGAAGTTATGTAGAACATATGTTCATAGTACATCATCATAGTATAAGCCATACAAGATTCTTGATCGACAGTTTTGGTTTAATTTGAATTATTTTCAGATTTTAGTCATATTTTGGAGCCTTATTTTCTTTAAGTGATTTTGAGTTTATAATAATATTGGTTGTGGATTTGTATGCAAACACCAATTATGATACTTTTAAATTTTACCATCATATATTTTAGATTTTTTAGTAATCTAATAAGTGCTATAATAGCACTATTAAAGTGTTATAATGATTAAGGTGTTTATTATTTAAAACCTTTTAAGTTAATAATTATGAAAAATAATTACTGATCGAACATTAGACTTCTTAATAATCTTTTTCTAGTCACTTCTATTTTTGTTTATGGTTATTTTTTTCATGTGAAATATATATATATATATATAACTTAAATGTATCATATAGCAACAGTTTTATACACATATATTGAATAGAGAATATCTAATAACTGATAGAGATTATTTCGAAATTTGTTATAATATTTATTTTATCACAAGTACGGAAGTTACTTTTCTTAAAAAGAACTTTACTCGTAAAGTGGTCTCTAGTCCAAATTTACATAGCCGGAAAGCAACAATCATGCACAGTAATTCATTACAATTTGTCAATCAAAACTGATTTCAATATAATAAATTATATTCCTACACATATACACACTTACACATACAAGTGTACACATTTATAATAAGTGAAGTTGATTTACTTCTAAGGGGTAACTTTTGTTGGTAGTAAACATTAACTGTGAATTATTTCCTCTCTGAAGTTAATGTATGCGCATGGACTTTGCCTTTCAGATCTCTTTTCCTCTTTTCCGGAAAGAGGGTTTATTTATTTGTTTTGTTTTTTGAGAGAAAGAAAAATTTTTTAGATATTATTTCTATTATCATCAAGTGTTTGTAAATAATATTAAAAATGTTACAGTGGTGTAGATTATATACTTATAATATGGGTTTTACTTATAATATGGTTAACATATATTCGAAACATTTATTTAAAAGAAACATTTATGTAGTTCTTAAATAAATATAATAAAAAATAAACAATAAAAAAGATATAGAATAATTATATTCTATATATAGAATAATATAGATATAATAATATAGATATAGAATAGAATAATTATTCTTATGTTTTGACTACAATTCCCAGTAGAATTCGTATTTCTTATTTTATTAAATATTATTATATATTATTATGCGATATATATGTATAGTAATATATTAACTATATTTTCAGTTGTGTAATTTGAATTTTAATAATAAAATAATTATTAAACTTTGCAATATGTTTAGACGTCGCATGAGATACAACTACGTGATAGAACGGCTATCTGAACAACAAATTTATGAAGAAGCAGAGATTAAGTCGAGTTGGACATGTGATAAAAATGCTGGATATGAGATTACAGTTTAAGATTTATGAGAACGAAAAAGAACCAGCAGAAGTAGAGGGCGGCCAAGAAAACGATGAAAAACAGTGTGCAGTAGGACTTAGAAGAAATTAACATAAGAAATTGGAAAACAAAAGCAAAAGACAGAGAAGAATGGAAGACAGTTATTAAACAGGCTTAAGTTCTACATGGACTGTATAGTCACGGATGATGATGATATGTTTAGACGCGATGTATGAGGCGCATCGATATTTCGAAATAACCTCTATTAAATAATAGATGTTCTCTATTAAATATATATATATTTAATTGTTGCTATATGCTATCATTAATATTATATACTATATATATTAAAATAAAATAAAAAAAAAATATAATCACAATATTTATAATTATATATTTATAACTTATTTATCTCTATATTTTAAGAGATCGAGATAATGAGTTAAAATATTTGAAATGACCAGTAAACTGACTCCCATCACAGTGGAAATTTGCAACTATATAGTAGCAGATCTCTTTTGTTACAGTTGAAAGTGGTTATGGCGATATTGGGGAAATGGATTCAATCCGATATCCGAATGCTGTTATAAGCGGTTATATAAAATAAAGGAAAAAAAAAATTATTGTCATATATATAAGTGTTTATATAAATCATTAAATTTTAAATATTATTATATTATTTATTTCATTTATTTATTACTTGTCTGCAGACAAATTATTTCCCCATCGGAATGTAATATCAGTGGAGAAAATTATAATCGATCATTTTTGTTTTTAACACCATTTTGATTATATACTTTCACTTTAACATTCTGAATAAATAATGTCATATATATAAACTATTGCAGCGTATGGACATGTTTCAACTAAGAACGATTACTTGAAACTTATATTTAAATCATTATCATCTATTTCAAGTTGAGCGATCAATAACTGTGCTTGAAGTACAAGATTGAAGAGGGCACCACGAATCAGAGGCATCTGAAAAGTAATGCTGTGTCAATCCAGAACGCGTCAACGGGTTATTATGGACATTTAAGTAAGTAAGTAAATAAGAAAAAAGTGACGAAGTAACCGGAATCCAGTGGCGTAACTACAGGGAAGCAACTGGAAGCAACGCTTTCGGGCCCCCGAATTTAGGGGGCCCCACTATAAATTTTTGTATTCATTGTATTTCTTTTTAATAAATTCTCAAAAGTGGGACGAAACGTTTTTTGTTGGAATAACTTCATATTGCATTTTATAAAAGATACGTAAATTTTAAATTTAAAGTACATAATATGTCAATGTACAATATGTATGTACTTCAAATAAAATATTAAACCTATTTATGAAATAAAAAAGTTTTTCTAAGAAAAATATGTGTCTTGATCGAGAGTTTATATGGAAGCTATATCTAAATTTAAACCCATTTGAAAATAATTTTGTACGTTGTCTTTTGCAAATATCAGTACTGTATACACCATATTCCATTTGAATACCTTTATTAAAAACGGAGAAACCTCATATCCGATTGTTAAGTTTATATCACAGCTACAAGAAATAGACGTCCAATTTCAATCAAATCAAATGGTGAACAGGGTGCGCTCCCGAAAAGTATGTGTATAAAGTTTTATTCGAAGAGTTCAAAAGCTGAGAGAGTAGTTTGAACTGTAAAAATATATATATATTGTACTGATATATACTTAATAGTATTTCCGACGTTTCCTTTAATGCGTTACGAAAATCTTGACAAACTTTATATATCCTTTTCAAATTTTTTCGTGTAAAGAGTATAAAAAGAGGGGCCCCTTAGTATGTTGG